AAAGTATTTAAGCACCTTGCAATTCAGTAAAGATTGCAACGTTTTTCAAATTCTGTATTCTTAGCGTACTTAGGGAGATAGAATTGAGGCAAAAATGCAAGATTTAGAGAGAGAAAGTGAAGGGTATTCCGGATTTCCATCAAAATTCGTTGTCCGAGAGACATAATATATCAGATCATTTTTTCACGGGGGACTAAAATACGTTGATTTCAAAATTCAAAACTTTATAAATGCAAATCTAAAAGCGCCCTATTTGAATGCTTTGCCCCTCTCTCCCAATCTAATTAATAGCACAAATCCTCGCTCTTTCCTCATTTTCATCCTTAGACCGACTCTCTCTCTCCCTCGCTCTCTCTGAAATATCTTACACTTAATTTTTTTTTTATGGGCCTCTGATTTCATTAATTAACACACTAAAAATGGGATCTTCTTCAAAGATTTGATATTTTTTTATCATTGTAAAAAAAATGTGTATTTATGATATTAAAATGACACACTTTTTTATGTTATTTTTTAGGATTTTACATTTTAATTTAAAAACATACCCACATTTATTCTTACAAAAATATAACTGTCTGATTAGACGTGTAATACCCTTAATTTTTTTATTAAATAATGTTCGGGGAAATTTATGATATTCTTTGTTAACTTTTTTTTTCTTGACATTTTGTGGGTTTCTGTAACAACTGCCATAGTGGGGCCCACAATCTCATGCAAGAATATCCTTTTTCAATTTTGTCTCACTTTTCGTGAATTATTCCTTTAAACCTTTTAATATTAAGTGGAATTAACTTCGCTTTTTGTGTCACCAATTATTCCCTCATGACCACTTTTTTCATTTTTTGTCACTAATTTTCGTGTCACTTTTTAATAAGTGAAATCAATGGATTCTCCATTAATTCGAGTAATTGGAGTATTTTGCAAGATGATTGCTGAATGAGTGGTTAGTCCATTTTGTTTCAAAAGGTCGAAGATAAAAATATCTATATCTATATAAAAAGGTTGTTGGAAAAATATATTAATAAAATATTTTACCATATAAATATAATGTTTGACTTACTATTAATGAAAAATTTAAAAAAACACATGTGAGTAACAAAATTTAAATCCTATTTTTTTGTAACAAATTTGAAGATTCTTATGGCAAAATTTGAATCTCATTTTTTTCATATCATATTTTATTTTTTTGGTTGTAACAAATTTGAAGATTCATTTTTTTCATATCATATTTTAGGAAAATTTGGTTGCA